TGCAGCTTTGGTCCAAAATTCTAAAAAAAAAAACAAAACAAAACAAAATTAGGGGGCGTGGCCTGGCTTTCTGAGTCTCTCCCAGCTCAAGCGCCCCCTTGAGGTCAGGGTCAGTATGACAGCACCTCCTCCCTACCAGCGCCAAATCCTCAGAAAACGACAGTCCAAAGTCCTTGCTGAGAGCGCCCCTGGACCACACCCGTGGCTTCGTGTAGCGGCACTAAAACCCGACATCGTGCACCCTCGTGTGGGTCCCCAAACACAAATACCACACTTGTAACAGCCTGGGGGAACGCACTCCGAACTCTGTAGGGGCTTCGGCAGCATGGCAGTGGAGATGGGTCAAAAAAAATATTTTTTTTCCGATTTTTCTTTTTGGTAGGGGTGGCGCATTTCTTTTTAACGTGTCTTTAATTTTGAGAGAGAGAGAGAGAGAGAGAGCGAGTGGGGGAGGGACAGAGAGAGAGGGAGACAGAACCGGAAGCAGGCTCCAGGCTGTGAGCGGTCAGCACGGAGCCCCACGCGGGGCTCGAACCTACGAGCCTGCGAGATCATGACCTGAGCTGAAGTCCTGGCTGCTTAACCGACTGAGCCACCCAGGCGCCCCTCCTTTCTTCTCTAAGTAAACACTGTCTAACGTGGGACTCAAATTCACATCCCTGAGATCAAAACTCATGTGCTCTCCCCACCGAGCCAGCCAGGCACCCCCATTTCTGTGGTTCTAAGCCGCTCAGTTTGTGGCATTTTGTTACAGCAGCCACAAGAGACCAACGTAGGGTCCTTCCTCACCCCAGGCTTCCACGTGTCTCCGGGAGAACCCAGAAAGAGGCCAGAAACGATGGCTGTGCTCAGGGGGTGCCAACTTCAAAAGGCCAGGCAGGAGGATTTAACAGCCGGGCCACCTCCACGGACCTCTCTGGGCCTCAAAGCAACCTGGCTGGGAGGCTGGGGCTCACTCACGATCCCTGCTCCCCAGGATCCCAGGGGGATTTGATCCAGTTGGATCTCTGAGCTTTTCTGCACCTTCCCTGAGGCCCTAGAAGGTCCCACATGGGGAAACCAAGGCCAAGAGAGGGGCTGAGCCTAGATCTGGGCCGGGGGGGTGGGGTCTCTTCTCTCTGGGTTCCACCCTCATCAGGCCAGGAATTTCCTCAGTTTTGTGAGCCCAGCCTCCCTACTCTGGCTGGAAGGAGGTATTCAGAGCTTTCTGGGTAATGCCCCACGGAAGCTGCCCCAGTTGGGGTGCCCAGTGCGCAGACCAATGAGAACCCCAGAGGGGAAAGACTGGTCATTTCCTTTCTGCTGTTTGCACCCTCCCTTGGGGCTTAAAAACCACAGTCTGTGGGCAGGACGCACCTTCGATCAGCGGGGAGCCCGGGAGACCTGAATATGGTGAGTCCCCCCCAGCAGGATCATGGGGTTCAGGAACCATCTCCCTTCTCTGTCTCCTTGCTGGGTCTCTCTCTCTCCCCACCTCTCCCCTTCTTGCTGCCTCTTCCTCTCTCTGTTCTCCGTCTCCTCCCTTCTCCCCTGACTCACATCTCAAGACTCTCCAGGGCTGGGAAACAGCTAAAAAGTAAGATCATCAAGGGATTATCCCCAGGTCCTCAGGGCTGGGATCAGAAAGGTCCCTGGGGCAGGAAATCCGAGTGTTGGATCTGGCTAGATGACATCTTCCTCAAGTGGAGAGATCCAGGAGGGGTCTTTCCGGCGGTGGGAAGGACAGGAGCAAACCCTGGGAGGCTGCAAAGAACCAGCTCGGAAGCAAGGTAGTTAC